TTAACCAACTATTGGTCAATAAAGAAAAAGAGCTTCACTGGATTTAGTAATTACCTACCCATAATTTCTAAGTTTTTACTAATGATCCCCCTCCCAAACTCTCAAAGAGACAAAAAGATTATTTTCCTTAACACCGTTAAATTAACACTCATCCACAAGGAATTAAAAAGTGCTTGGAGGAAAACAAAATATTATGTGGTAAAGATTTACTTAATATATTTGTACAATATTTCAAAGTTAAATTAAAATATATTATAACAAGTTAAAATATATCAAAAGTAAATATCAAATATTATTTACTTGAAAATATTTTATAATACTATTCTATTTTCAGGCTAACATATATAAAAATTAGTCCTGAGAAGCATTTCTCTCAATTTTAATTCTTCCCTTTTTTGTATCCAATAACAATCAAAACTTCCCTTTGATAAATATTATCTCCAAAGTTAGATAATCACATCTAACCCTTAGGTCTTCATAAAAGTTTCCCTTAAAAAAATACTTTTCCAAACCTTTAATTTTTACAGAATAGAAAGTTCAAGCTGTTTTCAAACACACTTTTCTACCTTTTGCTAACTCTTAACATCCTTTTGTTTTTCTAACACCGGTAGAAATTATACATGCTTATCATATTTCACATTTGTTTTCCTTTAATTACCATTATATTACTTTAATCTCCTCTTATAGAGATGATTTCATCCAACTGAGCCCTGACTTTTCTCAAGTTCAAAAAACAACAACAAAAAAAGCACATGAAGGAAAAATGCTAATTCTCTCAATGTCATTTTCAAATTAAATTACATGTATAATTTTAATTAATAAAATGATTTCTTAGTGTTAGGCTCTTTAGGTTATTTATCTTATATTACCTAACAAGATTGTACATGCCCTTGTTTCCAATTTATTTACAGGGAGTTTTCAACTCTTTTGTTTCTTTGCCCACTGATCTCCAGTTTTCTTGTATACTCTCCTTAGACTTGGACAAATCATTAAGCTTTTTGGTTATAGAGTCCAAAATGTGCAAAAGTGGATTAACTTACTTGAACAGACAAGTTATTATGTTTTTAACGAAGTATAGATCATTATAAGTGGCTATTTGAAATTGCAGAAAATGGTTTAAATTCATAAAAATAATTATGTAATAAGTAAACACTTAAAAAATAAATTCATAAAAATATTGAAACTATTCAATATAGTTAATAAACCTATGAGAAATAAACAAAAAAATTAAAAACATTAAACAAAGTATAAAAACTAGTACTAGTTTTAGCTGTTACTGACCTCTCTATGAAATCACTATGAAGTCACTTCACCTCTTATCCTAAGGTTCTACACTGTAAAAGAAGGAATTTATGATTTCTAACATTCCTTCTGTTTCTAAATGCCTGGGTCCCGTTCCTTTAGATATGTAATGTGGTTTTAGTCCTAAATTTTGTATTGGTTATACTGTTAACACGACACATACATACCACAAAGGCACATTCCTAAAAAATGCAAAAATTCAAAATAGCAACTAGGCATTTTCATATACTGTGTGGGAGAGTAACTGGTACATCCCTTCCTAAAAGTCAGTGTGGCATTATCTATCAAAAATTAGAATGAGAAAGGCCTTCAAACCTAATATGAGCACTTCTAGGAATGAAAACTAAAGAGTTAACTGGCACACTTATATAAACATGTATGTTCAAAGATAGATATTACAACACTGGATAGATATATAATATTCAGTTCACACTAATTCCAAACCTGATTTCTTTATTTCCACTCCTAATGCTGTTCTACATTCTAGTGAATGGCCCCAGTTGGTCAAGCCAAGTATCAAGGAGTCATTACTCATTCCTCTTTCATAATCAATCTACCAAAGAGTCCTATCTCTTTTTCCTTGAAAATACATTGTGAATCAATCATTCCTTTAGATCTCTCCTGATACCAACCCAGTCCAACCACCTTTATCTCTCACCTGGACTATAGTAAAAAACTCCTAGGTGATTTTTTCCCATTTACTCTCGTCCTTCAGAGCAACAGAAGCCAAAACGATATCAGAACATAAAGCTCATACACGTCTCTTTGGAAAACTTTCTCAGGGCACTTGGGTGGCTCAGTCAGTTAAGCGTCTGCCTTCTGCTCAGGTCATGATCTTGGAGTCCTAGGATGGAGCCCTGCATAGTCGGACTCCCTGCTCAGTGGGGCATCTGCTTCTCCCTCTACCTCTAACCACCGCTCATCCCCTGCTCGTGTGCTTCCTCCTCTCTCTCTTTCAAATAAATAAAATCTTAAAAAAAAAAAAAAAAAAAAAAAAGGAAAAACTTCCTAATGGCTTCCACTGCACTTAAAGGAAAATCTAAATGCCTCATGTTGGCGTCTACCTGTCTCTCCAATTCATCTCATGCCATGTTCTCCCTTGCTTTGATCATGCTGGCCAAAGTGACAATTCCTAAAACCTACCAACCTCTTTCCCCCTCCAAGGCCATTTACCATGTATTTCTCCAACCTGGAAAGCATCTTTCAAAGCTGGCTCCTCATTATCCAGTTATTGTCACAACGGCCTTCGTTTGCCCACATATTTTCTCTTTTATACACTATTACTTCATACTATTTGTTCCCTTCATACACTCACTTTAATCCTCAATTATTTTGTTCATCAACTTTGTATTTCTTCCCACTACTACATAAAATCCTGATGGCATGAAACTGTTTCACTGCTATTATCTCAGCACCATGTACAATCCGTATCAATATTCATTTTATGAATGACAGAACATAAGGGCAACCTGAGTTTTTGTTTCCATTTGCCAATGATAAGCTATTATATAAACTATGAGTCTAATTTAGACTAAAAACCTCACAATCAGCCAATTCCTCTATCTAATCTACTTCAACTAAAATAATAAAAAATATCAATAAGACATATCAAAAAGAACTTAGTGAAAACTTACGTAGTACACCATAATGTGACCTGGTTTTAGCAATCTTCTTGGCTTCATCTCTGCCCCCCACCCACACACACACACCTTAATTTGTGGCCATTCCCCCTTGAGAATTATAAATCGTTCAGATTAGCTGCAATTCAAAGTGTGTATGGCAAGGGATGAAGCCAAGAAAATTGCTGAAGAGAGATCAGGCTTTGGTGCTGGAACAGGGGTTATGTTTTAGTTTAGAGAGTCAGAGATTTTATCGAAGCTCATATACTTTAAGAACAAGTAGGGCATCTGATCAACTGGAAGAGTGAGGAATCTGATTTAGCACAAAGATTACCACGTAAATGCAATAAACACAATATTTTTGCTATCACAGAATCAGTATCATGTTTCTTGTGTGACAGACTCAGGTTTAGACTTTACCTTACTGTTAAAATTTCAAAAGTATCATACTAAAGCCTAGTGTGCCTTGTTCCTAAAACTACCTCCAGTGAAATTACGTGACATTGGCCTTACAGAATCTTGTCCAATATTAGATAATGTACTAGAATCTATATAAGTGATCTTTCCACTGATAACATATTTTCCTTATCTCATTTATTCCAAACTCTACCACACTTTAAAAACACCCTCTATTGGGGGCTCCTGGGTGGCTCAGTTGGTTAAGCGTCTGCCTTCGGCTCAGGGCATGATCCCGGGTCCTGGGATCGAGCCCCACATCTGGCCCCTTGCTCAGTAGAGAGCCTGCTTCTCCCTCTCCTACTCCCCCTGCTTGGTTCCTTCTCTAGCTGTCTCTCTCTTTCTGTCAAATAAATAAATAAAATCTTTGGGGAAAAAAAAACCCTCTATTGGTCCTATATGCTTGTATATTCTATTTTTATTTCCAAAATGAAGGCTGCTTACCTAATAAGTATACTCCTAAAACCATGATGCATAATTGTTAAAAATATTATTGTTAAATTGTTAAAAATACTTTCCAATTTGTCGTCATTCTATAATTTGGAAGTTGGTCTTAGGAATGTTAACACTTTAGTATTAATTTTCAATATTAAAACTCACAAATGTAATGGCCTTAACTTTTTAAAAATAATGCCTATATTGCAGCAGGCCCCAGTTCTCCTTTCTTCTTACCCTAAGCCTTTTCTTCACTTACCTAACTCCTGAAAGTTAATTTCATAGCCCTCTTTTTCTCAACATTTGCTATTAAAAATCCCAGGAAAGACAATAAAAATGTTAAGGTCCTCATTAGCATATCCCTCTGGCTCTACCATAATTGTTTTTCCATTGAAAATGATTCTTTGGGAGGAAAAAAAAAGTAGAAATACAGTCAAATTTCCTTTTGAGCCTTTGGATAATGTACTTTTTTCAACTAACCAGAGCAACATGTTAGATAACTCATGAAGTTCTGAATCTCTAAACTACAGTCATAAGTACAGCTAGCTTCAGTTCTTAGGAAAGGCTTCAGTTCTATAAATTTCATCTCTCTTCTCTCAGGAATCAGGAATCAATATGTCCAGGGTGCAGAGCTGTAAGCACAGCAAATAAAACCAGAAGGGGGGGGGGTGGTTTGGGGGGTGCCTGGGTGGCTCAGTTGGTTAAGTGTCTGCCTTCGGCTCAGGTCATGATCCCAGAGTCCCAGGGATCCTAGCATTGTGCTCCCTGCTCAGCAGGGAGTCTGCTCCTCCCTCTGACCCTCCCTCCTTTCGTGCTCTCTCTCTCACTCTCTCTCTCAAATAAATAGTATCTTTAAAACACACACACACACACAAAGGGGAAAACTACAGATCTTAGAACCCCAATGAGGTTACAAGTGCAAAGGAAAATTGATCATTGCTTTTTGAGGACTGTGTGTAATTTGGAGAATGAGTATCAGAGGATTAATAATGTGAATAACAACTGAAGCAATGAATAATGCAATCTCTGTAATCTACTTCACACAATTCACATCAAAACAAAGCAGTAAACAGTAGAGGAGACTAAGTCCTTACCTTACCTGTACAAGTGAGTTGCAATATAGAATTAAAGGCCTTATTTTATAGTACTTCTTAAATTAAAACAAACAAAAACACAACAGAAACTTACCTTCAAAAAAGGACCCCAGCTGGTATTTTCCACCAAAAAATTTTGGCATTGAAAATACAAGTGCTCCCAGTCCTATCATAAAGGATGCAAATGCAAGCCATCTTGGTTTGTGTCCTCTTTCACCAAAGAATGACACAAATAAAGATAACAAACAGAATGAGATATCATAGCTTGATGATATCAGGCCCGTCAGAGAACTCTTCATTTCATAGCGCTTCTCAATAGTGGAAATGCTAATATTTACGAGGCCATTTACTATAATACCTAAAAAAGAGAAAAGAAAATGTATGAGCATGATTTTTATTAACTTCACCATATGGATTATGATTTTTAACACAATGTACTAAGATCTGGTTATGACTAAAGTTTGTCATTTATTTTGATATTTTTTAAATGTAGCAATTTTAAAAGTCCCAAAGTTTCAAAGCTAGCAACTCAAACATACTTCCTTAAAAATCAGTTTGCTTTTTAAATGGTACATTTGTGAATTTTCAGGTGTTAAATAAAATCAATGCTTACCACATACTAAATTGTAGCTAACTTCATTTTTCTCTATATGACAAATAGAAAATCAGGCAGTAAATTCTCATGAAGTCAGTTCGCCAGAAAGATTCCAAGAGTAACATACTCATGGACCTCACTCAGAAGAGTACAAAAATACAAGTAACTCCATTGGTCATTAAAGTAATGCCCAATTGCTTCCCAGGTTGTTTAATTATTAAACATACTTATCTGTAACTAGAGATCTTTGACTTAGTCTTATGAAAGGTGAACTTGAGCTCTCAAACCTCTTTTCCTCTAACACTTTTATAGACATTAAAGTTATAATTTAAAAGGTCCTAGAGCAAAAATAAACACTAAGAGTCATTTCAACTACCGGCATTCTAAATCATATGCAAAGTAAACAAAAAATATACACTTCATCTGTCTATTACAACCATGATGGAAGAATATAAGGTAAGCAAGGAAAAGTTGAAAATTTAATTGTGACTGACTTAACAAAAATGTTCTGTCCAGATACAGATTAAATTTACAGGAGTCTAAACATTAGTATGAGTTGAAAATAAAAAGCACCTGATCCAATTACAGTTTTTAACTAGTTACCCCCTTTACTTAAGAGGATACCATGAATTGTTTTCATTCATTAATTAACAGAGTACACACAAGCCATGATTTCTACAACCTCCTTAAATTTTGCTTTATCGAGACTGTTAACTGGAAATACATTTCAAGAAAATTGATATAACAAGTTTTAAAAGTCCTAACATGATTTTACTTTTATGCCAGTTTAATAAGTCAAAAGATAATTTACAATTCTTAAAATTTAAAGGTAAAGTGTCTAACGTACCTAGGAATTACATGCTTATGAGATAAATCTATCTGAGAATATGACACTTACCCCATCCAAAAATCAACTCCACCTCCCCCCCCCAAAAAAAATCAACTTCCCAACACACTTGCCATACTGATTAAAAGTCAATCATGAAAACTCATTGTCTTTTTGGTACTTCCCTGAGAAAGTAAATTTATAAACTCTTCTGGAGGTTTAGCACATTAAGCCTATGAATACCACTCTGAATTCTATGCTGCTTTAAAAAAGGAAATTTCATGAAATATTGTATACTGTATGTCTCTATTATACATACATGAAAATAGGAGGCACATTAGGATGTTAAGTGCTAAGAGAAACTCTGTTTATCTTTGAGAAACTCTGGGTTAAGTAAACTAACCTGACAAGTTTTGGGTTTTGGGTTTTTGTTTTTGTTTTTCCCAAGCACTTCTTAATATACCATGGAAAAGGACCTCCCAGGGATCATGCCCGAGAAACATGGTAAGAATTCAAACTTAAATGGTAATAATTCAGATTTAAACTGAAACAAGAATTTATTGGGTCACCTTCATCTAGGATTATGCTTCTTAAATTGGGGACCTCTGGGTAGATGTAGCTCTAGGCTAAACCTGACACATCTTTTTAGGAGTGTCAATAATATTTGCTAATAATTTTAAACAACATTTTACATTAAATGTATGTGTTTTGGAATACAGAGATTTCAGAATATGTTTTAAGATAAAACAAGAAATTTTAATTGTGTCCAACTTCTTTGAACTTTGCATTCCTTTGGCACTGAAATGTTTGATCATGGATTTTGGACAACTAAGACCAAGACACTGAGAGAAGGCTAACTTGGGTGGGGACAAGAAAGGTGGGAATGGAAATAAATTTTTAGCACAAAACCACCTTTGGCAGAAGAGCTGCAGTTGACCTTCAATCAATGCTTACTTCCTGAACACCTAATGTGCAAAAGCAAGGGGCGCTGAGTTCCTTTCAGACAGGGGAGCAGGAATAAGAACAGAAAGAATATATTTAGATTTACTCTTCTGTTAATCTTAAAAAAGATCCCCCTCCTCAAACATATTTCTTGGATTACACTTCTTTCAATCAGCCCTGGATGGTCTCTTCACAAAATACTCTGAAAGTAAGACTCAAGTGACCAAAAAATATCTACATACCATCAAATTCTAACTAACCTTCAGCATTTCCTTCAGGATGCTCCGTCTTAATGCCCACCTCTCCTCAATGTGTCTGTCACCTTAGTGTAACTTCCCCTTTCTTTCGCCCCCTGCATTAGGCAACACAGCAACAAGCTTTTACCTTCTCCATGCTTTCTTTCCTGGGAGCCATTCTCCCTCTACTCTACCTCTCACTCCTCCAAACCAGGTTTAGACCGCAAACTCCTAAGGGTACAAACGTGGACTTCACCAGTAACTCCCAAGAGACCCTAAAAGAGATCCTGGAACAAAACAGATACTGCACAACTCCTCCGCGTTTCAAAAGCCTCACCCTTCAACAACAACGCCTCGAGCCTTTGCTAACATTTACTGGGCTCCACCTGTACCTGCACACAACTCAAACTAAATACACTCACAAAACATGAATGCTGCTACCTAACCACAAGTTTCTGCTTTGAGAACTACCTTACCCTCACCTGCAAATTAATCCTTCCCTTCCAGAACAATGTAAAAAAAAAAAAAAAAACTTTAGTAAGGAGCTTAGCAAAATATATGCTTCCGTAGCACAGAATTGGATACCCCCAGTGTAAACGGTTCCCAAAGGAGGGCTCCAGGAATTTCCACCTTCCTTTAAGGAATCGAAACGACTAACTGAGGTAGAACACAAAAGGAAAAAAAGGTGCGGGGGGGGGGGAGGGAGAAAAGCTCGAAAGGCAAGTTTTAAAAGTTGCTACAACAAAGGCAAAGCTAAAATGCGGAGCCTGCTGACGTCTGTGGGAGCGCTTGCAAGTCCCCAGGCCGGGCTGCCTCGCCGCGCGCCGACCATGCGGGCTCGGCGCGCGCCTGCCCTCTCCGCCCCGCCAGCTCGGCGCGCCCGTCCGCGCCCTCGCTGGGCCACTGCCCTCTCTCGGGCGGGCGCTGACCATTACCTTGCGTGAGGGCCAAAAGGCAGTAGTAAAGCAGAAAGCCCTGGGGCGTGTTGCAGCGCTGGAGACTCCGCGGTTTTAAGTTCCCACACCCACAGGGTCCTTCCTCAAACTCGTTCAGCGGCTCTGGAACGGACAGCTCTTGGGAGACAGGGGGATCCGCCGAAGGCCGGGGTGGCTCCGGTGACTTCGGGGGCTTCTGAGGCTCCTGTGGCTGCGAATTCTGTCTCTGGGTATTGGTGGACAAGTCCGAGACCTCGACGTGAGAGGGCGATGCAAACAAGCGGTGCGGGGTGTCTGGGCTGGAGGCGACGAAAGCCGGGTTCTCAATGCCTTTGCCGCCCTTCATGGTCAGCATGGGTTCTCCCAACTCCAGGGCGTTCGAGCTGCAGAAAAACCCGGTTCCCTTCTGGCTCCTCCCCCGCGCAGGTGGCAGCGCCCCCGTGCGGGAGGAGTTCCCGCCTCCGTGCCGTCGCTCCTGTAGGGCTAAAGCGCCGCGCCGCCGCCGCGCAGCCGCCGGGATCCTCCTCCTCGAGCTCGCCGCCGCCTAGAGCGCGGAGCGCGGACGCTGGGCCCGCTGGCGGTGTGATTGGCGCTCGGCCGCGCCTCACCTGCCGCCGCGGGGGTTTACTGGAATGCGGCGCGCGGGCGTGCGGCCCGGCCCGGACGCCGCAGGCTGACCCCGCGAAGCCCCTCAGCCCGCCGCGCTGCTTCCCAGAGCCCAGGGCCTGGGAACTAACCAGAGGTTGCGAGTCTGGTGGCCATAAAGCTCCCTCTGGGTGCTGACAGGAAAGCTGTAAACACAGTTGCATCAGGAGATCATTCCAGAAAATATCCTGCCGGTTTTCTCCTTTGCTGACTACCAAACCGGATTAGGTCTGGGCTGCCAAGAGTCAAGCAGCCACAAATACAGTGCTTTGCATTTTGAACATCATGGTGAGACTTTTACCTGTCATGCTCCCTAGAAACAGAAATCCCCACCGGCCTCCCCCCCCTTACCACGGCCATTAACGTGGCAACATAACCACCTGTTTGGTTTGGCTACCCCAAAACTGAAGATACAGAAATTAGAAATCCTTAAAAGCCTATATATGATATTCTTTCTCCTGTATATTGCATAGCTAAGATCAACAATGCTGATATTCACGTAATCATTTCTACCTGTGAAATCAATTTAAAAACAGTATTATGCAGTAGTTACGATTCATTCTTTCATTCATTCATCAAAAAATGGTGGACAGGAAAGGCCTCGCTGAGTTTGAGCAAAGACCTGGAGGAGGTAAGGGAGGGAGTCTCATGTGCAGAATAGAATGGCTGGGGTGAATGAAATGGTTGGAGAACAGTAGGAGTTGAGGGCAGGTGAAGGGGTGCAGATGGGGTGGGGAAGAAGTGATTGGGGCTAAACCTTGGAAGCCATTATAAGGACTCTGGCTTCCATTGTGAGTGAAATAGGAAGGTTTGGAACCAAGGAGTGACATGTCATGACACGATTAGGTTTTCAAAGGATCCATTCTCTTTGCCTTCTGAACATACACTAATGCATACTAAAATAATATATTTTAAACGAAGACATTTTTAAAACTGTATCAACATCTCAAGATGTTAATCTTTCCCTAAATTAAATGTGTCTTGCGATAAGGAACATAATCTAAATCACACATATTTCCTTTTTTGCTGTGTAATAGGGCTATATACACAAAGCTGTTACATTTCCTAAGACTTCAGACTATTAAGGAAACTACTTCCTCAAATCTAATTATCGATTATTTAAAAAACTTCAAAACAATGTGTCTGGACTACCTTTAGCAAAGTTAATCGAGGTCTCAGATGTGTAGATACTATCTACACCTGTCTTATTATATTGTTTTCAATACATTAGTACTATTATTCATTTATAAGGGTCCTTTGCTTAAAAGATTACTTCACTAAAAATTGGAGAGAGTTTCCAAGTTTTGCTGTCTTCATTTAACACCTGGCTGATAGCCTGTCCAAGAAGCTACTTCCAGATTCAGTGCTAATACCTCCTGAATAGCAATGATTTGGTAGTATATGATGATCATATCCAAGCATAGCCTTAATCCTAAAGAGAATATGGTGATGGAAAAGTTACCCCTCATCCTAAAACAAGATGTGTTTATTTCTTCTAACTATAGTCACTAACCTCATTTAAAATGGTTTAGAGGAATGTTTTCAAATACTATTACTTCTTAATGAGATAAACTAGAATTCAGAAGAAAATACACAGTGCACGACACACGATAGCTACTATTTTGTGCAAATTTTATTTCAGTTATATCTGCTTTATTTACTGAGCTGAGGGATTGAGATCAAAAATACATATATTTACTTTGAACAGACATACATCCTGTTCCTTGTTCCCTGACAATCTAAAGTGGCCAAAAACATAGTGAAAGAGTAGAAGTAGGAACTATCTTTTTTTTAAATTTCTTCTATATATTCCATTATTAACCCTTACTAGAGCAGTAGCTATTATTATCTACATTTTACATATTAAAGAATCTATATCCTAGAGAGGACTAGTAACTCTCCTAAAGCCATATAGCTAATAAGTGGCTTGACAGACTTGAACTCAAAGTTCTCTCTGAATTGCTACAGCAGGTTAGAATTTTTGCTAGCCATTCTAAGAGATCAACGGTCATATGATTTGATGTTGATAAGGTTTGGAAGACTAATTCTGCTCTGAAGTGCAGATATTCAGATTTTGCAGATATCCAAATTAGGCTTGATATGGAATCCCCCTAGGCCTTCTATTGTAAAAAGTTTCCACAGAAATGGACTTAGAGTGATGTCTAAAGGTGTAAATGTACATATGATCATGATTTTGTCTATGAAATATGAAGTAATTTAAACAACCAGCAAATTTTGCTTTGATGAAATATGATTAAACACAGTCATGGATTAAGACTCTTTTGCACAAGCTTTGAATTAACAAATTCAAATTAAACTATCAGAATCAAAGTAGCATAATCAGGGCGCCTGGGTGGCTCAGTCGGTTGAGCGACTGCCTTCGGCTCAGGTCATGATCCCAGGGTCCTGGGATCGAGTCCCACATCGGGCTCCCTGCTCTGCGGGGAGCCTGCTTCTCCCTCTCCCACTCCCCCTGCTTGTGTTCCCTCTCTCGCTGTGTCTCTCTCTGTCAAATAAATAAATAAAATCTTAAAAAAAAAAAAGTAGCATAATCATCATGCACTTAAATTGGTACTGTGTAAGGAGAAATCTCCACTCTCGCAGTGCTAAAGAGTAGTACTTTTTTTAAAGATTGGTGAAAGCGCTGTTGCTTCATCTTAAATACACCTTGCTCATACTGAAAGTGTTATCAACACCACTTTCCTGTTCCCTTACATCATTTGTGCTGCAATGATGGAAGGAAGGGGGTTCAGGTTTGCAACAAAGACAACAGTGCAAAGCAAAACAAAAAAAAATTTGTTAGAATTTTTTCTCTTATAATTCTGTGGAAAGTTGTCTTTTTTATTATTATGATATTTTTTAATTCTTTGGTCAATGTAGGGTAAATCTAGTGAGCATAGTCAAGATACACCATGTTAAATTTCAGAAGGTAATTAATAAATTGCTATTCTTTTAATGGATTTCAGTTGATATATTTTTAAAGGGTAGAGAATGGGATATAGAATAGTATCCAAATTTTATAGTAAAGCTCCAACATTGTACACAGGAGCAGATGTCCCTGCCTATGGATCTTTCTCTTGAATGTGCAGTAGGTCTTTCCCTTCAGGAATTGGATGAACCAAGATAAAGTGGCTTAATGACAGAAGCTATCAAGATTATCCCACTAACTCCCCTTGGTCTGATTCCATGCTTAAAAGTAATCTTATTATATGTTGGCCTTCCATGTAGATATACCTATCGGATGGAAATATACGCCTATCTTGAGTACTTTATCATTTTTCTTTCTCTGTACTTTTAATAGTTTATTAGTTCCTTTCCAGTTGTATAGTGGATGTAAATCCTTTAGTAATATAACACTATGACACTTACAGAATTTTAAAATTACAGGATCTTGAGAGAGCCTGAATACGAAGATGGTCAAGTGCAGATATTGTTGTGGTAATTAAAAACACCACTATTAAGGACTTATTAATACCACTGGATCTTATATTTATTAAATAAAAGCAATGGCACAGTCTAAGTGATCTTAGTATTGTTCATTTATCTTTTCTATTTTAAATCCTCTACAAAATGTGTAATTAAAAATAAATTATATCGGGCGCCTGGGTGGCTCAGTTGGTTAAGCGACTGCCTTCAGCTCAGGTCATGATCCCAGGGTCCTGGGATCGAGTCCCGCATTGGGCTCCCTGCTCTGCGGGGAGCCTGCTTCTCCCTCTCCCACTCCCCCTGCTTGTGTTCCCTCTCTCGCTGTGTCTCTCTCTGTCAAATAAATAAATAAAATCTTTAAACATAAATAAATAAATTATATCTAAGAAAAATGTAATGCTGAACTAGATTATTTTTAATACTTTTTGATTGCAGTTGCACAGAAAGATACATTTATGTTTAGAAGAAATTGCAGTTATATTTTTTTAGTAATACTAATCATAAATCATTAAGAAAGACATATCTATGAACATGAATGATTATAATTTTTAAAAAAGAAAACATGTAAACATTTAATACTATAATTCCATAAGAAAGCTAACTCAGTAGGCAGTGAAAAATGCATACTAGCAGAAAATTTACTGTACCATATCAAATTAAGCATTTCACTGATAAGTAATTAATATTATAATTTACTCAAAATACTGTGAACTCTATAGAAGAGTATTTATTATACAAATATAAAACATTAGGTATAGTGAAGATAGCATATTTGGATTTATACATATATATCAAGAAATGCTTTAAGCTAGAAGAAATTATTCTACAACAAATGAATAGTTAGGATAGTATTTCTAAAACATATTTTTTTTCTGCTCAAGATCTGATTTTGATGCCAGGAAACAGTCATCAATGTTATCATTTTGTAGAATATATGTAATCACAAGGTCATCATCGTGACAAAACACCAGCTTTACTGAATAGAGAAACAGCCATGCTGCCACTCTTGATAGTCCAGTCATTCCTACAATTTAATCACTACCATTTCTTAACAAAGTGGATGATGACGGTTATTAAAATTTAGATTTATAGAACTACAAGGGACATCAAGATGTCATTTGTTCCAACAACCTGTTTCTAGGCAGATTAATGTCAAATGCACCCAAAAGCTCAATGTAATTAGAAGCAGGAAATAGGCCAGTAACAGGGGGAATGATAGTGGTGAGTGAGGAATTGTCATATATTCTTTCATAGTAATCTTTTTACAGTTTATTG